TTTTGGTTTGTTTGAATTTTCGCGCAAAGCTACACGAAAGCTATCTGCGCCCTAACTCTTAGGTTATTCTTTTGCCAACGAATAGTGGAATTGACCATCCATTATAACGCCCCTGCGGCTGAAAGGGCGAGCATGTTCGGTGATGGGGATTCGAACTCGCAACTCTCTGAGTGCGAGACAAGAGCCTTAACCAAGGTATGTTTGGCATGGGTTACTTTGAAGTAGTATTCAGTATATTATTAATCTAACTTTGGATTATACAAGCTTTCTGTTCAAAGGGAACAGCATGTCAGGGTTGTTCTTGATGTTTATTATTGCAAAGCTTCACAATGGTCTATCTGTACTCTGCCTACTGCTTGGAATCAAGCCCCAGATTCTAGAGTTGTAAGTGTGCAAACTTACCGCTGACTCATCGGGGGTCATGTGTTTCAGAAAGGGAGGTTCTTACACCTTTACCTGGTTGGTTTTACTTTGAAATATGATCCATTGCCAGAAACTAATATTGCAGCAAATTTGTTGACTTTAATGAAAATGATAAACTGTGGAGTAAAGTGAAATTAATTTAAGCCTTTTTATGTTTATAAAACAGTTTTGACTTTTGCTACATAATTAGGTTAGTAATGATTAAAAGTATTAGAAGTCACAATTTGATAGTATTAGAAAGATCTCCTGTTCACAAGCCACACTGTGGCACAGCGGTATGTCTGCGGACTTACAATGCTGTAAACCAGGTTTCGATATCCGTGGTGGGGAGAGCAGATAGTGCTTTGTTTACCTTTGTGCTTAAACTGCAAACAAACAAATCTGTTCACAAATTAAGCTGCGAGATGAAAATATATTTTGCATATCATATTTCCGTTCACATCTTCATAAGTGAAAAGTATTATTGGAAAATGTAATGCTGAAAATGGGAAATCCACGAGCGGTTTAATTATGGTTTATAGTTTGTAGAAAATTGGGTGGTAATTCTGATTTCGCGTAAATACAACTTAGCTTGGAGACGGATTGTACAGTACCCTGAAATAAAGTGTTACAGTAAAATTATTATACCATGTTTTGACTTTACACCAAATATCGAAACGTTTTCTCTAACCTAAAATCAAGTCAGATCTTTTCCTTAAAAGGTTTTGATATATGAACTTTTTTGACAACTTCCTCCTAGACTAATTTAGTTTTCATTTCGACAGCACCACCGAAGTATAAAGAAGAAATACTAAAAAAATAGTATATACTCTAGTACTACTCAGTGTGGTTTTCTAAGTGTTTCAGTTTATCCTGAATTATTTAATTATTTCGGATGCAAAAATATTTAACATGCAGGTTTTAAATCTGATGAATCAAACGCATAAAAATATACTTATAGGATGTAGCAGATACATACGTCATCACTTTAAAAAATACTTACTTTACCCAACCTAATAAACAATCGAAAAACATGTTATTGTTGAAAACTTGTATATATCTAAGTCGTGCCCCCCCAGTGGCTCAGCGGTATGTCTGCGACTTACAACGCTAGAAACCGGGTTTCATTAACATTTATTTGCCCATTTGGTGATTTATTTTATTTTAGTTGTGTATTTTTAATTCATTTTCATTAAGTTTTTAGCGGTCAAGCTAAATCTATCGTGGTTCTTATTGGATGTCTCTTCTCTCCAATTTCATCTACTTCTCCCTTGCAAACTCATTAACATTCATTGGCCCCCTGGTGGCTCAGCAGTAAGTCTTAAGAGCTTATAACGCTAGAATTGGGTTTCGATACCAGCGGTGGGCAGAGCACAGATAGCCCATTGTGTAGCATTTCATTTCACCGAAAACGCCCGCCTTTATTCCATGTGGCAGATCTTTCAGACAATCAGAATTGGAATTAAGCACAGCTTTTACCACTGCTTTGCTTAACAAATGGCACGATTCTGGTATGTGTATTCCTTGAAAATCAGGATAAATAGATATTAATTCATAGTAAAGCTTTTATCAAGTGCATAGCTATAGAATATGAACATAAACACATCACATCAGTCCATAACCAGTTAAAATTGTTCTCAACTGTCCTAAACAGTGCTGCCAAATAAATGTACAAAACAAAATATTGTTACGTCTCTGTATGTTTGCTTGTTAATTCTTGCAAGATACAAGTCCTTTCTTTACAAAACTTTTTTATTCTTCCTCAATACAACTTTGTAATGTACTTAATTTTCACAGTTACATACACTATAGTTCACAACAATTCACTCACTTTCTATCGCGCTTGGACTTAATTGTCCGTCCCCGCAAACTATAGTTCCGATCACTGTGTCTGCTATCCTCAGTTCCCTCGG